GTGCGCGCGCGCGTGTGTGTGTGTGTGGGGGGGCGTGTGTGTGACGCGCAACCTCACGCCCTGTGCTGTTTTCCGTTCGGAGTGCTAGTGGTGCGGAAGAGCGGCCTAGAAAAACAGCAAAATGGGGTGTGCCAAGGATTTTTGGAAATTGAGTGTGGGGACACATACGGAACTGAAATCCCCCGTGTTGGTCCGATGAAGTAAGTCGACCGTTTTTCGCACGTCATAAAATGCGCGCGAGGGTTCGGCGCAAAAAGGGGAGAGAGATACAAATTCAATCCAAAAATTATTGTCGGACTTCCCACCGTGCTACGGCCCTTCAATTAGAGCGAAAAGGTTTCGGCACGTTTCGCATGTCTCGTCTTCGTATTAAGTCCCGACGTCGTTCACCAATCAGTTTTGAGTCCGACGTGGAGGGCCTCAGTCGTGTGGCTCTTTCCCTGTGTTCGTCTTCACTCTGTACGCGGCAGTGGAAACCCTTGGATTCGTAGCGCTCAAAGCGCTGGCACTCGGTGCATAGAGTGCGAGGCCAGTGGGGTTCCACTGCCGTCCACGGGATGACGATCAACTCGTTAAATGACAACAGTATTGAGTACGGTGGAAAGTGTGTATCGATAATGACAAACCCAGCCTCTACGAACCCTGAACAACGATTTCCCGGAGGGAAGTAATAACGTTCGCCGATCCATGCGACAGCTTCTCGTACGTCCCACTCGCATACACGTGTCCTTTCCTCGTCATAAGGAAAAGGTCGTGTCGATACAGCAGATACGGGAGGCTGACGCTCGACCGAAGGGCGTTTGTCAGTCCACATATCAATCAATTGCAAAAATCCTGAGACGTCATCAAGGAAAAACACTCGCACAACCACCAATCAATTATTTTCGATACGAGAGGGAGGGAAAACACTCGTCAGCTTAATCATGCATGTAACTGAGGGACCGACCCGCGACTCAGGTTTAGTAAGCCACCGCGGCGTTGATCCCAGGCGCCTTGTTTCTCGAGGCCGCCCGAAAGATCGGTTGCAGATGTCGTGCAACATAAGGCAGATGGCATGCGCAGTGCATTAAGAACTACAGATCTAAACACTTGCATTCTCAGACAAAATCCCGCCGAGTGCTGCGTCTAATCAACACGCAAAGGCAAGCATCTCCATACATACATTCACTGTGGAAGGTGCGAAAATGACAGGGATACACAGGTCGGAAATCAACCGAGGGAATTGTATACACGCATCCACCGTTCACAAGACAAGATGATCAATCCCTCGATATCCGGGGATTACCCAGGAAACTAATGGAAGAGTTCCGGAAGAAGTTCCTTCACACAGGAGAGCACACAGATTCATTCTCATTCATGAGAGGGACAAGCATCAAGACACATTGTCATTCAAGGATAGAGGAGAGAGAGAAAGAGAGAGAGAGAGACGAGGGAGGAATGTCGAGATAGGAGATGACAAGATCCGAAAAGAGGAAGTTCGGCGTTGCCGCCGTACACTCACGCTAGAGATAAAGATCCGCAATCAATAAAGGCGTATTCGCAGTGAATTCCAATATGGCCCCAGGCCAATCACCCACTCAACTCCAATCATCGATCCTCATACCCGCACCGACGATCCCTGCTGTCGCGTGCTAACTCCCACCACTGCGATCGTCACTCCGCCGACGTAAACTCGACGCGGTTCACCCGGATCCCACAGTTCGTCGTGGCGATCAAGCGCACAACCGGCCAGCCTATCGTCAGCCCGACAGGACTTTCCGACTCGCACAAAACACTCTGCCTAGCCACTGCTTCCCGGAAGCTCGCTTGGGAGTCGAGAACGTAAGAGAGATTTGTGGGCGTGTTTACGGAATTTATAGTGGCGAGAAGGGGGGCGAGGGAGAGAGAAGGCAGGGGGGAAATCGAAGTGTAAGAAGAGAAGCAGGAGAAGAAGACTTGGCGAGGAGCGCGCTACGGAAGCCATGTTGATCCTTCCGACACCAATGGTCGACCAATCAGATTCGTCGCGTAGCAGGAAGTTCCTCCTACTCAACGCGTCTGATTGGTGAGCCGGGGTGATCGGAGGATTAACCGGGCTTCGTGAGCCAAGGTCGATGAGCGGGAAGACACGAGGCGTGAAAAGCAGCGCGAGACGGGTCCAAGATTTAGATGATCAAGAAGGGGAAATGGGCGCGCAATCAATCAGAGCGGGAGAGAGAGAG